TCTTTGCTACTAAACTTGTGACAAACTTATGATTCAAAACAAATAAACTTTGAAAACCCAACCTAAAACATCATAAACTGCAGAACAACAAGCGATATCACTACAATCCCTGCGTAGACGATTTTCAATACCCCCCTTTACCTATAACACTAACATTAATTGAAATAAGACTGAATGGATGAAAGACATGGATGATGAGATTAAATATCTTCATGATAATAACACTTGAGAGCTGATCGAAAAACCAAATAGAGCCAAGTTAGTCAGCTGTAAGTGGATTTTCAAGGTTAAGGAAGGAATCAAAGGATTGGTATCGAAGCGATATAAGGCAAGGTTGGTTGCAAGGGGTTCACTAAAAAAAAGTTTCGATTTTAATGATGTGTTCTCACCTGTTATAAAGCACAGATCCATTAGAATGTTGTTAGCCATGGTGGCAAAGTTTGGCCTAGAACTTGAACAGTTGGATGTAAAGACATCCTTCTTATATGGTGATGTAGATGAAACAATCATGATGAGGCAACCTGAAGGGTATGCAGAAAATGACAAGGAGGATTATGTGTGCAAGCTGAATAGGTCTTTGTATTGCCTGACATAATGTCCTCGACAATAGAATAGAATATTCGACAAGTTCATGAAACACATAGGTTTCACTAGGAGCCAGTTCAACCAATATGTTTACTTCAGATTTTGACTTGGAAGTTCACTTGTTATTTTGTTGCTTTATGTGGATGACATCCTCATAGCAAGCCAAAATGTCAAAGATGTTATAAAGGTAAAGGCTGAACTCGATAAGGAGTTCGGCATGAAGGATCTAAGAGCTTCCTCGAGGATTCTTGGGATTGATATCTTGAGAGATAGAAAGTAATTGAGATTATGATTATCTCAAGAGACATGAGTACTGAAGATTCCTGACAAGTTTGGTATGTCAAATTTAAATCATATTCTAACTAGGGGTGGCAAAATGGATGGATTGGATGGATATGGATTGAATTGCTAATGGATGGATTAAAACAATCCATTAGTCCATTAAAATCCACTAAAATTTTATTAAAATTATCCAATCCGATCCATCCATTAAGAATAAAATTCATCCAATCCATCCATTAACATATTTTTAATGGATGGATATCCATCCATCCAACTTCTTTTTTAATTTCGTAAAAATAATTTTTTTTTTCAAAAACAAATTAGTTTTTTATTCTGAAAAAAAAAACCGATTTTTTTTCCAAAAAAAAATTCGGTTTTTTTTTCGAGAAAAATTTTTATTTTTTTTCGAAAAACAAATCAGTTTTTTATTCTGAAAAAAAAAACGATTTTTCAGAAAAAAAAAGTCGGTTTTTTTTTCGAATTTTTTTTTTTGAAAAACAAATCAGTTTTTTATTCTGAAAAAAAAAACGATTTTTTTCCAAAAAAAAAAGTCGGTTTTTTTTCGGGAAAAAATTTTATTTTTTTTTCGAAAAACAAATCAGTTTTTAATTCTGAAAAAAAACTGATTTTTTTCCAAAAAAAAAGTCGCCTTTTTTTTCGAGAAAAAAATTTATTTTTTTTTCGAAAAACAAATCAGTTTTTTATTCTGAAAAAAAACTGATTTTTTTTCCAAAAAAAAAGTCGGTTTTTTTTTCGAAAAACAAATCAGTTTTTTGTTTTGAAAAAAAAAACAGATTTTTTTTCAAAAAAATTAAATTTTTTTTTTCAGAAAAAAAAATTTAATTTTTTAATTATTTTAAAAAAAATCTAATTTTAAAAAAATAAATCTAACAAAAATAAAAATAATCCATTGGATCCTTAAAATATGTTGGATGGATTGAATCAATCCATGCATATAAATGGATGGATTGAATCCATCCATGCATATAAATGGATGGATTTAATCCAATCCATTAACTTATTTTTTGTGTGGTGGATGGATTGGATGGATTTTTTGATGGATGGATTGGATGGATTTTGCCTTAATGGATTTAATTGCCACCTCTAATTCTAACACCGACTAATCCTCAGTACAAACTGATTATGACTCAAAGTCCTAGTACTGAAGTCAGAGGAGTATATATGAATAGAATACCATATGCTAGTATTGTAGTTTCTTTGATGTATAATATGCTCTGTACGAGGCCAGACATAACATACAGAGTGAGCCTTGTAAGTAGGTATAGGGCCAATCCTAGGAAGGCACAACGACAAACATTAAAGTGGATCTCAAGGTACATAAATGGGTCTCTGAGCAGAGTCATAATTTATGGTTGAGCCTGTGGTAATGATAGCAGAGTCGAAATCGAAGGATTTGTCGAATCTGATTCTACAGGTTGTATGGATTCCAGAAATCCTATTTTTGGATATGTGTTCACTATGATTGGGATAATAATCAGTTGGAAAACAACACTTCAGAAGGTTGTTTCCTTATCAGCTACTGAAGTGGAATATATTGCCTCCACTGAAGTTGTGAAGAAGCATTGTGGCCTGAAGGTTTTGGCAAGTAGCTGAAACTTCAAAGTCGAGTTATCATTGTTAAATGTGATAGTCAAATTGCAATACACATGTCGAATAATTTAGCCTATCATGAGCGAACCGGTCACATTGATGTGAGACTGTACTTCATAAGAGAGATAATCGAGCGTGGAAAGTCCAAGTGCTGAAGGTTTCAATTAATGACAATCTTGTTGATATGATCACCAATATATTACCAAGTAACAAGTTTTTCCAATGTATACAGTTGATCAAGTTGCATAATGAAAGGTAGTTTGTTATCTTGTTAGCATAAAGTTTGTTCCAAGGTGGAGATTTGTGATATTTGGATCGAACTCTAGTCTTGACAGGGATAACTCCATGGTTCGATAAATGTTTAGCATATAATCGAAGTTTGTTCATATGTTGATCTTGTATCCTGTAGTCGAAGTATGCTCAAGTAGGAAGTAATCTAAATGCTAGGATTGTGAGCATGTCGAATTGGACATGTTTGTTTAGCCCAATTGTTTAAGTTAGCTTAGTAGTATATAAATAGATTGTTTCTTTCAGGTTGTTGAGAGAGAGTTTTGGTAGTTGATATTCACTTGTAATCTTTGAACCCTGATAGATAAAGTGAAAAGTAAAACAGTTTTAACCAATCTTGATTCGTCTTCTTCCTTCTTCTCTCTCTTTCGTAAAACCTAATAGGGTTTCTTGTGCTTGTTCAAGAAACTCAATCTTCCTCATATTTTGATTTGTTTTTGACGACATCGATTCACAATAATTATTATATTATATACTGCACTTTGAGTTAAAATATAAAAACAAAACTTAGTTATTTTGAAGAAACTATGAAAACAGGCTAAAAAACACCTTTTGAATAATGTCATAAGTTGTTTTCATAAATTTTTCCAAATAAATAATCTCACAAAACAAAAGTTTAAGGATATTTCAAATCAATGCAAACAAACTTTTAATATCCTTAATCTTTACATATGTTCAAATAAAATAAGCTTTTAACATACTACAAATCAATTTAAGTATAAAAAAATGCTAAATTTTTAAGTATAAAAAAATAAACAGATGACAAACTACAAATCAAATTTAGACTTTGATATTTTTAACATACTAAACATATATTTGACAAAATCTAACTCGGCCAACTCCATCTCACCTTTAATTGTGTCACCGTGATTCATAAATGGTGTAATAAAGTTTTTTTTTATGGTTTGATGATCTAAATGAAAGACTTTAAAGCAAATAATTTATAGTAGTATTTTTGAATGAGGTAATTTATTTTTTTAATTAATTTATATTTTAAGTAATTTAAATGTTTATTTACCTTTAAATTATTTTATTTGAACAAATTATTAAAACTATTTGAATAACAGAGACCAAGTTACCGTTTTAAAAAATTTTAAAAGGTTAATTTATAAAATTTAAAAATTATTAATGATCAACTATAATTTTTTAAAAACTTTAAAATTTAATTTTAAAAATTTGAAGACCAGCTTACAAAATTTAAAATAATAATATATTTAATTTAACATTTACATTTCACGAGTATAAGAAGTTTAAATTCTTTAATTTTAAGTATTATTTTAAAAATTATTAAATTTAATTTTAAAAAATATTTATAAATTATCACCATTTTAACCATTCTTACTATTTTTTTTATCAGAATGTATCATTTCTAAGACACCTTTAGAATTTATGATTTCTCTTATCTTCGGTGAAGTTATCTAGGAGATACTATTTATTTTGCAAAGTTGAGTCTTCAGAGATGGATTGACACAAACGCACATTTGAGAGCGTTCCCAAGTTTGTTTCTCTTGTTTTATGGACCGGTAGTAGTTATGTTGCTTTTTCTAGAACTTTTTAGTTTTTTTTTTGTGGGGTTTTTATTATTTTTTTCATCATATTTTCCAATTTAACATCAAGCTAAATAGACACGTCACTAAGGAGTACTAAGAAATTGCTATGCCTGTTTATAATTGTATCTATTAAAGACCATTTTCTTTAATTTTATAAATAATTCTATTATATAATTGTGTCCATTTACTAAACATTTTTCTAAACTAGTCGTTGAAAAATAAAGTCTTTAATAATAAATACCAGCATTAAATCTCAAATAGACAATAGACATTAGCCATGGCATAAAACAAGTTGCCCCAACTCATAAAGTGATTCTCATCTCACAAGAGTAATGACTTTTTTCTTAAAGTATTAAAATAAAAAAATTGATTCCTATAATATTAAATTAGCCACGTCAAATGGTGTGTGATAGTGCCACGTTAAAAAAGAAGTCTGTATAGAAATAAATTGAAGTGGGCACAGAGTATACCATATATCATACCATGAGAAGCCACCTTCATATCATCTCATCATCATAATCATCATCATCATCATAAACCTCTTTTTCTCTTCCTCTTTTTAATATCAACCTGTCTTGTGCTTCTTTCTGTAAAAATTCCAAATCGAGATTTCGGAAGAACGCCATTGTTTTTCCCGATATCTCGGATCACACATCACTCCCAACGATTCTCTTTCTTCCTTCCATGGCTGCCGGTCCTACATCAACCACTGCTCCAACAACCGTTCCTCTTCAACCACCACCGCCAATGCTCGTCTCTGATTCGTTCGCCAAAGACGCTATTCTCGCTTGGTTTCACGGCGAGTTTGCTGCTGCCAACGCGATTATCGATGCTCTCTGTTCTCATCTTTCTCACCTTTCCTCTGGCGCTGAATACAGCTCCGTTTTCGCCGCTATTCACCGTCGGAGACTCCATTGGATCCAAATCCTTCAGATGCAGAAGTATCACTCCATTGCTGATGTCGCTCTTCAGCTAAAAATAGTCGAGGAGAAGAAAAATACCGTTGAGGAAGTGGTTATTGAAAACGACGTCGTGGCGGAGGAGGAGGAACGGAAAACGGAGGACAAAGTGATCGACGGTGGTAATGAGCATGAAGAGTATGATTCTCCTGAGAGTGAGATTACTGATTCAGGTAAATTAAATTCATTATAAATTATTAATTACTTTTTTTTATCTTCAATCATTATTTTATTTCATTTCATAAAATTTTCCGATGTTTTAATTTTTGTGTAAATTCTTCACGGATTTGTGTTTTTCGGGATGGTAAAATATTTTTGTATAATTTATTTTTGTATTTTGTATCAGAAACATTGGAAAATGGAAGAGTTTTTTTTTTTTATTTCTTTATTTACGAGAAAAAATAAATTACTACTACTTTTTTTACACCAATGTTTTTAATACTTTTTTACCTTTTCGTTGAAATAAGAAATAAACAGCGACTTTATTATGTATTGTATCTGTTTTTTAAAAGAATGTTTCTTTTTATTCTTTTTTTTTTATTTTTGGTTTTTGGGTTTCATATTTTGGAAAAAGAATTTTTTACTGATGCAACCGAGCCACATCTGTCATAAAATTTAATGTTGGAATTTGCTTTTTGTTTATTAGTATTTCCCGTATTTTAAGCAAAATTTCTGACTACTAGATTCATTTTCATGATTTTCATAAACCCGTATTTTTTTTATTGCTTGTATTAGGAGTTTTTGTTTTAATTGTAAAATAAGGATTTTTTTGGGTATTAGTAAAATAAAGTAATTAATTACATGCACGGAATGTGGTTGATAATATTACTAAGTGGGGTTTAACGTTTCGAAAACAAGAAGTTATGAGAAAAGAAAGAAAAGGGTTTGGTGTGTGTGGGTTGAGGTTGAGGGTCATGGTGGTTTAGTTGGGGACTAGGAAGTGACAGGACAAATACAGCACTATGTTAAGGTTGAAGTTATGGATCTAGAAACTATAAAGTGTCTGCAATGATTTGTTATTTGAGCCGGCGGGACCACCACACAGAGGCGACTACATGATGTGTTGGTGACCTCACTTGGTTATGGTTCCTTTGGGTTGGTGGGTCAAAACTTGGGTGCCCAATCAAGTTATTTTCCTTTGGAAAGTATATTACTAGGGGAAGAAGAATATGCTATCACACGTTAGAGTTCATAGTAATGTTGATGTTGAGTTTAAATTTACAACTTTAAATATAGAGTTCAAATTCTCTCGTAGAAGGTTGTAAAATGGATATTAGTGTTATTTTAATTAATATAAATTTTTATCTTCATCATTTTTAATGAAAGAAGTTTGTAGCAGCCTCTGCGCTGAAACATAAAATGAGAGGAAAAAGACATGTAGGGTCAGTTTGATGCATTAATTCTGAAACGGACATGTAACTAATGGTAGTGCCCGGGTTCACATTGGTGGTGGAGGCCACTTTGTAGCAAAAGGACAAGTGTTTCTCAATAATCACAATCTTGAAATGTGTTACACAATAAAATTTTAGTCAAAATACTCTTTTAATGGTAATTCCAGTAATGACTAAAGCATATAATAACAAAAAGATGAGATATTTTGGGGATCATGGCATATGCTGTGTGGTATACTAGTATAATACTAAAAGAGGGTAGTAATTTCTCAGCTGTATTTGTGAATGCATTTGCTTTAGGATAAGAATTTGTTGTCTTTTACTTAGGGTTATAAAATTTGAAGGGATTTTTATCTGCAGGATCTCTAGAAAATCAAACTAGTTCGATGAATAGTGATATATGTTCCAATCATGAAGAGTGTGAAGGACGCCCTTCACAATTTAAGTTGACAAAAGGTTTCTCAGCAAAGGAGTCGGTGAAGGGGCATATGGCAAGTTCTTTCTTTATTTCACAAGTTCAAAATTCAATATTTCCAAATGCAATACTTCTGATTAACAGCTGATTGCAACTGACAGGTGAATGTTGTGAAAGGGTTGAAGTTATATGAAGACATTTTCACTGATTCAGAATTGTGCAAGCTGTCGGATTTTGTGGATGAGATCCATACTGCTGGTCAGAATGGAGAATTGTCTGGTAATCCAATGTTGAACTTTGTGTGTCTGGATTTTCTCATTTCTAGAATTTTAATTCATGATAATTTTTTAGGTTCTCACTTTTTTAGACAGAGATAAATTAAATAGCAAGACCATCTATGGCAGCTCCAATTTATTTGTGCGGTTGTATATTGAGTCAAATATTTCTTAAACTGCTACCTCTCTTGCATACTTGTAGGTGAAACTTTTATACTATTCAACAAACAGATAAAGGGTAACAAGAGAGAGCTGATTCAGCTAGGTGTTCCAATATTTGGACAGATAAAAGAAGACACAAAAAGTAAGAAGAATTTATTCAAAGAAATTGTGATTCATCAAGTAGTTTTACTTTGCCTAACATAAGTATAATGTTATTCTTATGATCACAAATATTGCATAAATGAATCTAAACTAGAGATATGCTCTGTAGTTCTGTTTTTCATTTTGGATTTTTGTTTTTAGGTAATATAGAGCCAATTCCAGCACTTCTGCAACATGTCATCGATCACTTTATTCAATGGCACTTACTTCCAGAGTACAAAAGACCAAATGGTTGTATCATCAACTTTTTTGAAGAGGTAAATTTTGCACCATTTCCCTCTTACAAGTTATACACATCCTCTTAGGTTATTCTACCTGTAGTAGTTACATTGGTATTGTGATAATTTGCAGTGTTCAAAGAATTATCCATTTGGCAATATTTACAGAATTTTATAATTTGTTTAGGGGGAGTATTCTCAGCCATTCCTGAAACCACCACATCTGGATCAACCTGTGACCACTCTTCTTCTCTCTGAATCAACCATGGCTTTTGGGCGTATCCTTATGAGTGAAAATGACGGGAACTACAAGGGACCACTCATGCTCTCATTGAAGAAGGGGTACATATCAAAGAACTTATTCTCTTTGCAGTCCTAATCTTCCATTTATTAATTAAGATTCTAGCACAGTGCTGGAATCCATGGAAGAAGTACGTTCAACATTTATAGGACAGATGTAAGTGAATAATGTGAAGTGCTAGCATTTTAGAGGATGCAATTATGTGCTCGTATAATATGCATACTATTGGATTAGATATTGCTTTTGTCCTTGTCATTTTGTTTTTTGTTTTTCTTGAATATCAGACAAACTTGGAGGCACTCAAGCTAGGGACAAAAATAGATTGTTTGCATCTCAAAAATATCAATGGCAACATTGTAGTTGAAGTGGCACCTAGTTTACATTATCAATAACCTTATTAATGTTCTCAGCTCTCAGCTCAAGCATCAATTTATATTGCTGAATGTCTAATTACCTGCTGAGATATTTTTTTTGAATGTCTTGTGCAAGTTAATTTCTAACTGGTGAATAACAACTTGGCTTTACAGGTCGCTTGTAGTGATGAGAGGAAACAGTGCTGACATGGCCAGGCATGTAATGTGTCCATCTCCTAACAGAAGGGTGAGCATCACCTTCTTTAGAGTGAGGCCAGACTCAAATCAATGCCAATCACCAACTCCTGCCATGACAAACTCAATGACTCTGTGGCAACCTGCCATTGCTAACCCATATGCTTTGCCAAATGGAGCTCTAAGTTGCGCCTATGAGGGTATGGACATGATGATGCCCAAATGGGGAATGCTTCCCGGCCCAGTGATGATGCTGACCCCTATGCGTCCTATGGCATTGAATCCCCGCAAACTTGCTGGTGGTGGTACTGGAGTCTTCTTGCCCTGGAACGTCCCGTCCAGAAAACCTGCAAAGCATCTTCCACCACGTGCACAAAAGGGAAGGCTTCTAGCATTGCCTTCTCCCGTTGAACCACACATTGGAGAGTCCACTTCTGAACCTAGCATTTGTGTTGAAGGATGAGAACAAATTTGGTTTTGAAGCAGCCTTGGGTTCAAAGACATGTGAAACACGATAGGTGGCTTTCAAGCCCCAGTTATTTGCTCTGCACCCTGGAGCTTTCATTTTGTTGTACAAACAGGGTCCCACCCCAGGAGCTGCTACAAAAGTTTGGTTCTTTTTTACTTCTCTTTTTTCACACCCTTTCTTCCACTTTTCCCCCTCCTGAATAGAGTAGTTTCTAGTGGAGTTTACAACGGTTTTTTATGTTTATTGGTCAAGGTAAGAGCTTTAGTAGAATAGTCAAGCTTTAAAAATTGAAGAGTGTGAATTATCTCTGATATATCAGTTTGTAAGAATGACATTTTAAGTTAACCATCTTCTTAGGCGTATCAAATCGTCATTGGGATGCTTAGTTATTTATTTATGATTCTATTTGATATGTTATATCTCAAGTTCAGTTTTTTGTGTGGACTGTTTTAACTGCTTTTTAGATCTATATGGACTATTACCCATATCGGATTCAGAATTTCGTGTTTATTCAATCTCCGAAGGAAGTATTCTTCTAAGTATTTCCGGTGGATTGTTTTTCCCTCTTTGTTGCTAACTCCAATCTCAGAAGGAAGTATTCTTCTAAGTATTTCCGGTGGATTGTTTTCCCTCTTTGTTGCTAACTCCAAAATTGGAATTTTGCTTTTCGTGTTTCATTTACCTACTGTGACAAAGACCTCATCTCCTTAGAAGTATGAGAGACTTGACTATCTGACATTTTCAATTGTGAATTTAGCTACTTTATTCTAGGAAGAACTGCAGAAAATGTGTTAATTCATTTTGTTTTAATTTGATTATTTTCATCTTGCTTTCTGATAATAGAACGTGAGAAATTGAGAACCCAGTACACTTAGTAAGCTTATGTTTTAGCATCAAATGATCCCGCCCAATCAGCTAACACGAACAATGAAATAGAAGCAGAAACCTAAATCAAAGTCAAGAGCTCAAACCTGCCAGAGCTATAAGTATAAGGCCTTTAATAATCCATATTTTTGCTTATATCATCTGCAAAAAGTCATAAACACCAATAGAATGCAGCTTTGAATGATTACTCCTTATAATATTAAGACAATTTGTTTAGTGTGACTTGTAATACTTAATTCAGTCTTCATTGTAGCTGGTTGAAGTAGTCGTAACTTAGAAGATACATGCTTTTACAAAATGGATACAATTCATATCTCATAAAACGACTATGACTCGGAATATGGCACCAATCGAGGCCTTACAGCAACCAGACACCTAATATGATCATTGGTAGACAAATAATTGACGATAACACTATTGACACTCATTCTCGTAAACAACTTCAGCTTGGGGATTGAGTTGACAATATCTTCTAATGTCAGTATGCAATTTAGGCAAGTTTAAATATTTTAGCACAATCAATGTCCATTTACAGGCCATAAACCCTACCTTGACCAATTCCAGAAGATAAGAAAATTGAATCATTGAAGGGTAGAGAAAGAGTGAGCTTGTTTAGATTGTTCTGAAATGAACTTTTATTTGCATAGCTTATGTAACAAATTTAATATGAAGAGTCAGCCAATGAAACTACTGAAAGGAAAGCAAGATAAATATGGTATGGAAATTGTTCAAAAATGTATCAATCTTTTTCTCAGGCTTAAAAAGACGATGCAATTTGCAATTACACAGAAGCGACTCAGTTGGAAAATAATTCAAGGTGATCAATGGAATTGGAGGGGGAACTTATAATTACACAACAACTAATGTATAAATCAAATAAGGGATACCACTCAACAATACTATAGAAAAAGTTAAGTTGCTTTTCGTGCATTTCAGGTATAGAAATTATATCACAAATTCACAATATTACATCTATCTTCGTTCAACAAATAAAATAAATTTAAAAAACATGCAAATTTCTTTTTGATAAAAATGCACATATTTTTTTGGAGAAATCAGAACAGAATGAATCAAATATGTCAAGGCTTAACAGACTCGTCGTCATCATCCTCACTGTCCCAAATCAAGTCTTCATCTTCCTCTGCAGTACTAAGGCGCTTCAGCAAATCAACTTTGCTGGTGCTACCACTCTGACTCTCAGATTGAGCTGCTTTCTTATCATCAATACCACTAAGATCCTCTATATCATCCCACCCGAGATCCTCTTCATCCTCATTTCCCATGGGCAGACTTTCAACCACTGATGATTCATTATTCTTACCCGGAGATTTTACATCAGAAGCCTTCGTTTCCAGTATTACCATTTTCTCATCAGACACAGCTGCCGAACCATCCTTGTTCGCAGCATCGCCCACTTCCAACTTTGATGCTTTATCAACGCCGCCATCCTCATTATTTTCCTCAATTCCACCGTCCATCTCATGAACAACTTCAGCTTTCTCAACAACTGGTGATTCTTCAACAGACTTATCCATCTCATTACCATGTTCATTGCTTTGCATTGAATTGTCTCTCTTTTCTACTTTAGAACCTGAATCCTGCACCTCTTCCACACTCAATCTCTTCTCATCACCAGCACCCGAGCCAGAGGCACCAGTTTTCAAATCAGCACCTAGACTTTTCCCCAAATTTTCCGCATCAATTTCCTTATTGATCACAATCTCTGTTTTAACTTTAGCTTCATTCTCCTCTTCATCATCTTCAACATCCCAACTCAAATCCTCCTCATCCCTGGATATTCTTCTAACAAGCCTAGCCCTAACATCTTCAGCTTTCTTGAGTCTATAAACCTTATAATAATACCTACAAAAGAAAGTTTCATGATCAACAGTATTTGGAACAACCTTTTTATAAATACTCTCCATTGCATCATTCTCCCTAAAAAGACTCTCCATTTCATCACTTTTCCCATCCAACGCAAACCCTAATTTCCACTCATTGAATTCGTTCAAATCCTCAGGCACCTCAGTGTAGGTACTCACATCCCCCTGAATAGCACCAACCTGAGCATCAAACCTACTATATCGCTTCGAATCCAATCGGCTCGAATCGCGACTCGCCGTGGTGGTACCATTATCAGAATCTGAATCGAGATTAACAGCAAGGATGGCTTCCTTACCTTGAGATATGATCTGAGCCGTTGATTTAATGACGGTGCTACCGATCTCACCGACCGAATCTTGAGCAACTTCAATCTCACTCTTCAAGCCGGTGCTGAATTCCTGTAGATCGCGACGATAAGTCTCGATTATAGATTCGGATTTGGATGTGAGGGTTTTGATGAGTCCACCGAAGTTCCAAGCGTCGTCGGCGCCGGAATCGGGATTGGGATCTGCATTATTGGGTTCGGATTGAGCAGGATCTGGATCATCGGAGAAAACGGATTTGAAGAAATTCATGAGAAAAAGGTTAACGAGAGATCACGGAGTGAACGGTGTTATGTGAAGCCTGCAGGAGAGGAGCTTGGTGTCTACAGCAAGGAAGCATGCCATTTTCAGATTTAAAGATAATTATAACAAAAATAAACAGCAGTGGTTTTGTTTTTTTTTTTTTTTTACAGCACACTACAGCAGTGTTTTTTTCTCTCCATTTCATTCAAGAAATGAAACTATTCGTTACTATAGTTTAAAACTAAATTAATAGGATAAATATTCATATTTTTAAATTAGTAACATAGACTTAAATAGCAAAATTAAAGTAATGGAGACATTCTTGCCAAATAAGAAAAGAAAAGCAAACATACATTAATATTACCAAAATCATAATTAGACATTTATATACCAAAATCATGATTACAATAATGTTGTTTTTTTTTAAATTTTAAACAAGTTTTATTATTAGTACTTCATGGTCTTTAAATAGTTATGACAAATACTATTTAATTTTTATTTTCAAATTTTAAGAAATTATAAAATTTATTTTAAAACAATGTTTTTTGAAAAAAAAGGTAGAATGTGTTGGTTTTAATTTTTTGTTTTAGTTTATAAAAATAGTGTGAAGGTTTAGACCATTAATTACTTAGTGTTTTTTTTTTAATAAAATACACTTACGATCTAATTTTATTTCTTTTTAAGCATTTTTATGGAAACAAAAACACAAGTAAATATGGCTAATCTCATTCATACATTTGTCTTGTGGCTGCTAGCCAAAATAATATTTTTAAAGTGCAATATTCTTTTAAATTCAAACGTTAACTCATCTATTAATACTCAATATCATTATTTTCATGATTCCGTCGCCCAACATTCTCTTATCACATAATAAACACTCTCCGGGTGTATGATTCGGATAAATCAAGGAAATGAAAAATAATATTTTTAAATAAATGTGCTTTGTTTAAATTTTATGCGAGGAGATGAAGAAAGAGAAGGACAGCAAAATTACGTTCTTTTGTGTTTTGAGACGAACCCAGAGTTTAGTGATTAGAGTACAAGTGGTGGACATCGAGCTTCTGTTGAGGCTATTCGTGATGCTTTTGAAATTGAATTTGGTGATGGATACAAGGTAGGTACTTTAATCACACATGTATTTTTTGAAGTGTTTGTGTTTCTTAATTTGTTAAATCTATCTAACCTTATTTTAGATTTGTCATAGTTTTTGTTTCAGAAACCGTTGATTCTGCTTCTCTTTTCTTTACATGTTCCTTTTGTTTCATGGTAGAATAAAACATTTCAACTTCAAACTTTTCTATTTGTGCTCATCGAGTTCAATAGTGGTAGTCTTACTAATATGTTTTGCTTTAAAGGACTTTGGAAGCATTGAACCATTAATGTCTCTTCATACTGCGATTTCTCAAGGTATTGCTTCTGTTCACTCTCTTTTTGATGTTTGTGACGCCATAGCTACATTTTTCTGTTAATTTTTCATGCATCTGTATAATTATATACTCTAACACTGTGTGTTAGATACTATACAATTTAAAGTTACCATATATACCAAGAAAATAGAAAAGAACTTAAATATTTATTGAAATTTGATCTTAGCAGCAATAAACATAACATTACATCTTAATAACAACTTTAATACATCATATTAGCCCTACTTATGGCTTGCTTTACAAATTTCAATTCAAGCAGTTAAAGGATGTGTTTGGCCTCGTACCGACAATCTTGATGTGTTATTCGACAATAGACCATACAAACTTAAAGGATGTGTCAAACACAAATTGTATAAACTTTACAACATTGGTAAGCATGGGTAAGCAACAGATGCAACTGTCAGGGATTTGAAATTGATTGTAAAACATGTGGTTACTCCAAATTTATCACTGATTTTAAGAGAATGTTAGATTTCGTTCACACCCATCTTAAAAAGTTTACTCAAATTTGATTTTATTATTGAAATTGACTACCACTTTTCTTGTAATATCAGAAAAGATGATGTTATTTTGAGACCTCAATTTGACCAAAAAATAGAAGACTACATCAGAGGAAATTCACCTCACACAAAATTTATTTCTAATTTGCCACAAGTTTTTAGTTCTTAATTTATATTTAAAAATGTACATTTGTTATCTACATAAACAGGTTTTGAAGTTAATTTTTAATTCTTAGTTTATATTGAAAATGTACATTTGTTATCTGCATAAATAGGTTTTATTTACTTTAAGTGTCATAAACATTTTCATATATGGTTGGTTTCATTTTACTGTAGAGGAACTATATGGTTGAGTACTTTGGTGAACAGTTGTCAGGCTTTGCATTTACTGCCAATGAATAAGTAGAATCTTATGGATTTTGTTGTGTCAAGCCACCAATCATCTATGGTGATGTGAGCCGCCCAAAGACAATGAGTGTCTTCTGGTCAGCTCTTGCCTAGAGTTTTATCAAGAGTCCAATGAAGGGAATGTTTACTAACCTTGTCAAAGAAGAAAAGAAGACTCCAAAAAGGATCAAAATATGTTTTGTGTCAACAATAATCGTGTTTATCTTTTGTGAACATCTTTTGTAATAGTGCTTGTATACACATTTTGCAGTTGTATCTGTGTATATCTTATGTCATTTTAGAACATATTTAATGTCATTTTAGTTTAATGACTTTAGTTTAAATCAAAAAATGTAACAAAATTCTAATTTAATGTCATTAAACTCAAGATTATGTTGATATGAAATTCTGGTGTGATAAATAATAGATTATGGTCCGACAAAATGTTATAAAAATTTATTCTGATCACTTTAATCACAATTTGCTTATTGTCCAAGTATGGTTCCTTAACTAATTATAAAGTTTCAATTTAGTCCCTTAATAAAATTGTTGACTCGTTATTTTGATTTTTAACATTTTTTCTCAATATTTAACATAAATGATTAATTTGCCTAACAGAATGATTTTTAAGGGACTAAAATATAACATTTATTAAATAAGAAATTAAAGTAAAATCTAAAATTAAGTTAAAGGACTTCAAGACTAATTAAACATATTATTAATGAAGTATAATTTTATAAAATCATTTATAAAAAACGGAGAAAGTATTAGATATTAATATTTTATCTTTATAAAATTAATTAGTTTAGTAACTTGTACATTTATCCACTTACCTTAATTCTAACATTTAATTTTACAAGTCACTTCTTCAAAATCTCCACAGGCACACTCTTTCCTAGCTTTACTCGCATATTTTTTCTTTCCTAACTTTACTCAGATATTTTCTTAACTTTTATAGAATATTCTTTTTCTCCCTCCAACATAAATGATTATATTTTATTTCTCTTGCTATTAATTGTGAATTTTTTTTATAATAACCAACTATTATTTCTTATTTATCATAAAAATAAAAGTTTTAAATTTTTTTTTAAAATGACTAAAATTTAACTTTCTGTCGCCGGATAAAATGACGATATTGTTGAAAACGAAATACTGATTGACGACTTAGTTCAAGAACTAGGGTTTTCTTTTTTTACTATTTTTAACTAATCTTTTAATTTATAATTTTATCACATAATTATTCTTATTATTTAAAATAAAGTTTTTAATTAATAAACATTATTATTATTATTATTAATATTTTTTTTCATATAATGTTAAAATTAAGTTTTTAATTAATAAACTTAAAATAATTAGGTTTAAATAAAAATAATTTTAAATTAATTTAATAAATTTAGGTTTAATTAAAAATAAACTTAAATTAATTTTATAAATTTAGGTTTAATAAATATTGTTTTTGTACATTTAGGTTTAATATAAATATAATTGTGATTATAATTTGTTGTTTTTAAGTAATACTTATAAAATAAGTAATAATTATTGTTTTTAAATTATAAATATTTTTAAGATTTTAATTATAAATTAATTTAAATACAAAATAAAAATTGATTAACAATTTAATTTTAAAGCATATAAATTGATTTAAGTTATAAATTTTAAAACATAAAAATTGATTAACCATTGAATTTTAAAGTGTATAAATTTTGTAAGGGTATTTAAGACATATCATATAGGGCGCGTACTATTTTATTTTTCTATAAATATGACTGCAAACACATATATGTTTTCACAACATTGTATACCAAAAGACTGAAGCGCTAGTGCATTTTGAGTGGAGTGGAGTCTAGAATGTCCGCATTTCTAAATCAACGTTCTTCGTCGTCGTCGTCATCAGCATCGGAGGAACCCTTTCCAACATTCGATATAATGAAAAGAAATGTCGTAGTTATCTTTTCAGCAACAAAGCCTCCGATGAAGGTGCTCCTGTGGAATATGCAGACGTTGGAGCACTTGCATAGGGAACTGAACCGCTGGCTAGAAGGAGATATTGCTCCAGGAGAAAAGATTAGGACAATTAAGCGGTTGGTCGAGGAGACTGGGAGAAACAGAGTTACTCGTGAATGGAGAAAAGTGGAAAATGATGCAGGTGTCCTTGTGATGATGTTAACACCAAAGAAGATAACGTTGATGGTCGTGATATCGTAGACACCTTGGTGCAGTGTTTTGTTTTATGTCTTTATGTTGTTGTTATGTTTATTTAATTTATGTTGCTTTGGTGCAGTATTTTGTCTTTATGTTGTTGTTATGTTAGTTAAGTATGCTTTTAATCGAATGAAATTTGCTATTAATCGAATGAAATTTGCTATTGATTTAAAGGGACATGGTTACATATGAAACTATGATCTGCTGCTTGATCCTACGTTAGGATATTTTGTACGATTGTGTCCTGGTTGCCGACACGAACTACATAATCTTACCAGCTTGTATGCGGTATCCATCTCCGTTCGAATGCGCGTGCTGTTAGGCCGACCCTTTTTCTTTCTGCGCATCAAGTCTTTATGCCAAACAATTTCTCCTTCGTATTGAGGTCAATAGTCCTCCTTTGCCACCACCTGAAAGCTACATGTGTAGACATTGCATAGACTTATCACTTGGTGAACTGCAGAAAGAAGGTTGGTTGGGTCCTGGCGCGCCT